CTGCTCGGTCTGTCCCCTCCTCCTGAGGTCCAGCTTTTCAGGTCTCAGCCCAAGTGAACGGGGTCACCAGGGCTTCCCTACCTGGTGGGCTCTGGATCTAGTCCTTGTCACCTTGGCCTCCTAAAGCTTCCAGAAGTGCTGCTCAGCCTCTCAGCTGTCCCCCTGAAATTGGCTAATGCACCCAGGAGAACAAGGACCTCAGGTGCCAGGCTATCTTCATGAGTCTTTGTTCCCAGCCGCTCCCCTACTGTACCCCCACATGGTATCCTTCGCATTGCTCTCCAAAGCTTCCATGCTGATTTTGTAAAAAATATTTTCTCCTTAGCTTTATTGGTTGTCTTTCAAATTTATTTGAGTATAGTTGTTGGTCCTAATTCTTGCTTTTTTCTTTTTTCTTTTTTTTTGGAGACAGGGTCTCACTCTGTTGCGGGGCATAAGGGCAATGGTGTCAGCCTAGCTCACAGCAACTTCAAACTCCTGGGCTCAGGTGATCCTCCTGCCTCAGCCTCCCAAAGAGCTGGGAATACAGGCATGCACCATCACGCTCAGCTCATTTTTCTATTTTTTTTGTAGAGATGGGGTCTCCCTATGTTGCTCAGGCTGGTTTGGAACTCCTCAAGTGATCAAATCCTCCTGCTTCAGCCTCCCAGATACTAAGATGACAGGCATGGGCCACTGTGCTCAGCCTATTTCCTATTTTTTATTGTGTATTTTTTCTATCTTTTCTCCTTTTCTTTTTTTTTTAATTAAAAAAAAATTTTAATTTTTTTTATCTTAGCACATTATGGGGGTACAAGTGTTAAGGTTACGTATATCGCCCATGTCCCTGTCCCCCCTTTTTCTCCTTTTCTTGATTAGTCTTACCAGAGTTCTATCAGCTTTGGTTTTGTTATTCTCCTCTATTATTTTTATTTTCTAGGGCTGTTGTTCTGTTTTACTTTTTCACTCTATTAATTTCTTCCTTGTTTTTTGGTTTGCTCTGTGACTTTAAAAAAAGTCTTCTTGGCTGGGCATGGTGGCTCACGCCTGTAATCCCAGCACTTTGAAAGGCCTAGGTAGGAGGATCGCCTGAGGCCAGGAGTTTGAAACCAGCCTGGGCACCATACCAAGACCCTGTCTCTAGCAAAAAAAATAAAATAATAAGCCAGGTGATCACTTAAGCCCAGGAATTCAAGGTTACAGTGAGCTATGATCGGGTCACTGCACTCCAGCCTGGGTAACTCTGTCTTAAGCGAGACTGTCTTAAAAAAAAGATCTTCTTGTGTTTAATACTTTCTTGTTTATTTTTAACTTTCCTATTTCCTGTTAAATGCTACTAAAGACATAAATTTCTAAGAACTACTTTTGCTGTGTTTTGTGAATTTTGACCTGTAGTATTTTCATTATTGTTTCAATCCTACGTATTTGTTAATTTCCTTTATGATTTCTTATTTAACACAGTACAACTCACAGGGTTGTTTTTGTTTTATTCTATTTTGTTTGTGTTTTGGACCATGTTAATTAGTTTCCCGAGGTATGAGATTTTTTTTTTAGCACTTTAAAAAAACATTTTTTTCATCCTGTTTTGGTTGGAGAAGATACTTTCTTTGTATGATATCTATCTTTTAAAATGTATTGATATCACATTGGCTATTGATTTTAAACAAAACAAAAAAAACAAAGAAAAAAAAATCTATTAATACTTGTTTTGTGGCCTAGCATGGTCTCTGGTGGACGGTCGCACGTGCACCTGCACTGTGGCATTGCAGCGGGAGATCCCAGGACGAGGTCCCTTTTTAGGAGGCCACTGAAGCTACCAGTTGGTGGTAGCTTTTGTTCATGCTTAGTGTGTGCCCCAGGGTAGTGTTCGCTGTCCCTGGTGCGCCAGGTGGGGCTTGAGTGTGTTAGTCACGAGGTTTCTCTTTGCAGTGTGCCCGCCAGCATGAAGCCACTGGAGCAGCTGGGCTCGGCGCTGAGGTTTCGCTCTAGCTTGGACAGTGACCCCATGTCAGGGTAAGTAAAGCCTGAGGCTGGGGGTGTCTTCCAGGCAAAGGTGACCAGGGGGCTTAGGTGGGCTGGGGTGAGGGCTCTGGGGACTGGGATGATGCAGTCATTGGGGTGCAGCCCCAGAGAAGCCGCCACCATGTTGGACCAGGACCCTTGAAACTTATGGTGTTGAAATGTGTGTTGGTGTGCTGGGGTGGTGGCGATGGGTGTGACTCTGGTTGGGTTGACAGTTGAAGGGCCAGGGGTAGGGGTCACATTGACCTCGGTGGTGGGGAGCAGTGGATGACTGATGGGTCCTGATGGGGGAGGGGCTGACAGTGATGGGCAGTGGTGATGGCATGAGGTGATGGTAGATGGTAACAGGTGTATCATGATGGGGTAATGGTGACAATGGTGACAGTGAGGGGGAGGTGGTGGTGGTGGCAAGTACGTGGTCATGGTTTGACTTCCAGGCATAGGTGCTAGGACAGCTGATGATGCCACGGTCCCTATGTCAGGACCTTCATTTCAGGGAACCAGGAAGCAACCCTGTCCTCTCAACTCCAACCTCCTTGGCCAGTTTCTGCCCTGTCTGTCGCCGCCATGACAGGTGTTGTGACACACACCACATGAGGATGGAACGAGCGTGCTGCCTCACATGTGTGTGTTTTCCTGGCTCGGGTCTGTTCTACTTGCTGCCTGTCCCCTGCGCTGGTGGCTCTAGAAGCCCTTTCATGAAAAGGCCTGCCCAGGCCTGGCCGTCCCTTTGGAGGAAGGGACCCTAGGCTCCAGGCCTGGGGGTGGGTTGGTTCTTAATCTCCCCATCCTGCCCTGGGCCTGGGCAGGCGTGGGGCTCACTGGCTGCAGCAGAACACAGGGCAGGGCTCCTGTGAGTGGAGGAGGGGCGCCCCTCAGCTGGTGGCACCGAGACCTCCCTCCACATCCCAGAGCTCCCCTCCTGCCCCGAGGCCCTGGCTTGCAGATGGCCCCACAGGATTCTGACGCCTGGCCCGTGCGGGCCCGGAAGCAGCCAGGCTGGGCCTCATCCTGAGGACAGTGGGCACCACGGAGGCTTCTGGGCAGTGCTGGGGTCTGACGGGTGTTTTAGGAAGACCCACTCTGGCTGCCCCTGGAGGATGGAAAGAGCAGAGGGGAGGGTGGAGGCAGAGGGGAGGATGGAGACCTGCATTCAGCAGCTGCCCACCCTGAAGGGGCCTGAGGGAGTGGGAGGGTAGGGCTGCCCTGGTCTCTGCTCTGGCGCGGGCGGGTGGCTGAGGCGGGTGGCTGAGAGGAGCGTGTGCAGGACTGACTCTGAGCGTCAGCGATGCAGGTGTCTGAAGGAGAGGCTGGGGGGTGGGTGGTCTGTGGACACCGTGACCTCTGTGCTGTGCCCTGTGAAATGGGATTCCATACCCGGAGGCCGTGGTGCCTGGCAAGAGCCGTTCTGTGAAGGGAACTGAAGAGCGAGTTGGAAGTGTGTACGATGAGTGTAGACAACTCCGTGGAGAGATCTGCCTGTGAAAGCATGAGGAGTGAGACAGGAGTTGGAGGGGGAATGGGCGTGAAGGGCTTTGTGTGCAGTGGTGGAGACTTGAGCTGGGAGCGCAGAGGGAGGGGACAGTGCCGCAGCAGCTCCCCAAGGGGCGTGGGAGGGGTGTGGCAGCCGAGGGCTGTGGCAGCAGGGAGGTGACTGGACCAGCTCAGGACTTGTCTTTCCTCCCCCAGGTGTGCACACAGGTGTGGCAGCCGAGCCGCAGGCCACAGTGTGCGCAACACTGGGCCTCCCTCGCTCCGTGCCTGTGTGCCCTGCCCCTCCTGCCACGCCGCCCCCAGTGCTGCCCCTGTGGCCTCCCGCTTGCTGGGACGAGCAGGTGGCTGGAGCGACGCCCCCTTCCCACACCACGCGCGTCTCTTGTCCTCTCTGCCTTGCTCTGAGCCCGGCACAGGCTGTGGCCAGTGGGTGCCCCAACGAAGGGTGGGAGACAGGGTCGTCAGTGACTCCTCTCCTTTGGACACTCCCTGGTCTCCTGTCTGGGCCCAAGGAGATGTCTTCTCAGCCAAGGGCACTGTTGTTGCCCACCAGACAGTGGGCTCCTTGGTGGGGTCCAGCCCCTGCTTCCCGGGCCAGGGGCCCTGCTCCAGCTCTGCCCCCACTCCCCACCACTGACCCCTCGTCTTCTGCTCCTTCTCAGAGCCTGCCTTTGGCTGTCCCTCTGGGCTGTTTCTTGGCTTTCCTAAGAACGGGCACCAGGTCAGAGCACAGGGACAGTGGGATGAGCCCATGCCTGCCTGGCCTTGAGATGTCAGCCTGGAGCAGGGGTGTCCTCCCTCAATGGGGGCTCTGGGCTTCCCATAGTGTGGCCATGTCACCTTTGGGCTCATGGTTGGCTCAGGCCTTCTGCCCCTGAAGACTTAGGCAGGTGACTCTCAACCTTGTCGTTGAGCTGCGTCAGTGCCAGTCCATCTTGCCTGCCCCCTCCCTTCTTCAGCTTCCTTGGACTCCCCATCATCTTCTTTCCTCTCCTCTCCTCCTCCTCTCTCTCCTCCTCTCCTCTCCTCTCCTTCCTCCCTCTCCTCCTTCCTCTCCTCTCCTCTCCTCTCTCTCCTCTCCTCTCCTCCTCTCCTCTCCTCTCTCTCCCTCCCTCCCCTCCCTCCCTCCCCTCCCCTCCCTCCCTCCCTCCCTCCCTCCCCTCCTCCTCCCCTCCCCTCCTCCTCTCTCTTTTTTTTTGACAGAGTCTCACTCTGTTGTCCAGGCTAGAATGCTGTGGTGTCAGCCTAGCTCACAGCAACCTCAGACTCCTGGGCTCAAGCGATCCTCCTACCTCAGCCTCCTGAGTAGCTGGGACTACAGGCATGCGCCACCACACCCAGATACTTTTTCCTATTTTTAGTTGCCCAGCTAACTTCTATTTTTTGTAGAGATGGGGTCGCACTCCTTTTTAGGCTGGTCTCAAATTCCTGACCTCAAGTGATCCTCCTTCCTCGGCCTCCCCTAGTGCTGGGATTACAGGCCTGGGCCACCACTCCCGGCCTGTCATGTTTCTTTTGGATCCTGATTTCGTGGTCCCTTCCCAGCTTCTGGCCGCTCACAGGACTGTCAGACAAGGCTGGTGTGTTTGAGCACCTGAATGGTAGTACTTCTGGCTGCAGGCCCCACGCAGGCCACTACTGACCCTCTGTCCTGAATCCCTCGTGACAATGCAAGGGAAAGGTGGGAAGGTCGATCAGGCGAGGTGTGGCCATGGGCAACTGCTGCTGCCTCCCCGCCCTCAAAACCTCCTTTTGGCCATCCCAGGCCCACTCTGCTACAGCCTGTCTGCGCTGCCAGCGTCATGGGGGAGCGCTGGTGTCCTGGGCCCAGAGACAGCATTTGCTCAGTTTGAGCACTGGGAATCCTCCGCCTCCTGCAGGCCAGTTCTCTGCAAGCCGCACAGTACGGCCCCCCTTCCCCTGGGCTGTTGCTCCTCTGGCCTTCAGGCCCCTCCTGCTAGGCTGAGTCTGCCTTCTGAACTTGGCCTTCAGACTCCTCAATCCAGGAGGTAGCCCCAGCCTTGGGAGGCCACATTCCTTCCTCTTGGAGGTGTGGTTCTGTGAGTACGATAGCCTGGTGTGGCCATGTGCCCCGTGCACTCTGCAGCCACCCCTCCAGTGTTGCTTGGCTTCCTCAGAGTGTCATGCCTGGCTGTCCTGCCTGTCCTGCTGGGCCTACCCCCGGGATCCCTGAGTGAATTTACTCATTCATTTGTTAGGTATATATTGAACACCCACTATATGCCAAGCACTGGAAGTACGGTGGTGGCCCAAAGCAGTTACAGGTGCAGTTAACCAAATGCTCATACAGTGGAGTGTATTTGCAAACTGAGTTTAGAAAGGAATTTAATCCTGTAATAGCATTTGCTGAGGAGTCTGACCTCATCTGCGTAGCAAGGGAGGGTGTCCCTGAGGAAATGATGAGGTCTGAAGGGTGAGCAGGAATTAATTAGGTGGGGGTGGGGCGGGAGGAAGGAAAGGGCTGACCAGGCAGGAAGCATGTGCAAAGGCCCTGAGGCAGGACATGGCTTCGAACTTTCAAGAGCTGAAAGCAGGGTGATGTGGCTGGAGCCCAGAGAATGAGGGAGGGTCGGAGTCCCAGACCACATAAGGCTTTGTGGGTCTAGTGAGGTGTTTGTTTTATTTAAATTTTAAATTAAAGATTAAATTTCGCTTTATTGTAAGTTTCACTATCTGATGAGACAAATTCCAGATTTTTCTTTTCTTCTTTATTGTCTGCTACAATATGTATATACAGGAAAATAGAGACACACACACACACAGTTCAGCAAGTAGCTGTAAAGCACATTCCTTTGTGATCCCAGGAGCTGCAGGAGCCATAGCAGGCATATGAGCAGTAGTGACATGAGGGGCCTGGCAGGGTGGCCGGGGACACTTGGGGAGGCAGATTAGTGGCTTGGGGAGTGAGTGCACTGGTGGGAGAGGAGGAGCAGAGGGTTCAGGCTGGACCTTGCTCATTGCTAGCGTGTCAGCCAGGGCCCCAGCGTTGCGCTCTGGCCCCAGGTGGCTGAAGGTGTCCATCCGGGAGGATGGCTGGCACAGGGCTGGTGGGGATGGGGTGGTTGGGGCACGCGCAGAGGCTGGGGCATGTCTCAGACCCCCCAGTGGAGCTGTCGTGGGCAGCGGGCAGGCACGGCTCTGGGGAGGCAGCGAGTGCCTGGCTCCCCTCCTCCCCTCCTGGCTCTGGGCTGCTGGTGCAGCTGTGGGGCCTGGGCCATGCTGTGTCTTTAAGAGGGTGGCTACAGGCCTGTGTCTGTCCTTAATGCTGCTGACGTCATCTGGAGGAGATTCGCTTTCCTTTTCCCCTCTGAAAGGGGAGGAGTTTGAAACTGAGTGGCCCGTGATGGAGACAGGGCAAGTGCAGGAGGCCCCTGGGTGAGGCGGAGGCTAACATGGGGTGAGCTGGGGCACCGCTGCCTGTGTAGAGCCCGGGACAGCCGGGACAGAGCTCGCCCTGCAGTGGCGCGTCATTGCTGTGTGCATGTGTGTGTGTGTTTCTCTTCCTGCCTCCGGTTGGGCAGGAAGACACCTATGATCTCCAGATCTGCTGGTCCTCTCTCGGGCGTGTCCTGGCCGCTTGGGGGCTGAGGGCTCCTGCTTGGGAGCTTGGCTGGCTGCTTTTCAGCCTTGAGCCTGGTGCGAAGGGCCTGTTCTTAGGAATGTCCCTGGGCTGTGGGCTGGGACCTGCTCCCTCTCTGGGCTGTGAGGGGAAAGCCCCCGGCCCCACCCTCCCTGGGCCTCTGAGGGGCGGATGCCCTGCAGCTAACAAAGCTCCTTCCATTTTTGAATGTGTCTGTTGCAGTTACCAAATGTTTGCTGTTTATTAGAATAAAGCTTGGCTTCTGGGAACACTAGAGAACAGTAAGGGACTCTGTCTGACTGCCTTTGGAAGTCAGATTTGGAGAACTTCCCAGGCAAGGCCCTCCACTCCAGGGCCAGGGTCCGGCAAGGTCCTGCCTCCAGCCCCTCTGTGTCACCACCTCTGGCCCCTAGCCTCGCCTGTGAAGTGGCCGTGCTGGGCAGGGGTGGGGAGGCCAGGGATGTGTGCGAACACCACGCGCAGTGCTTGCCACACATTAAGCATGCAGTGAGAGGCCGCTGTCCTGGTCACTCGGGGGCGAGCAGAGGAAGGCCGCTGCTGTGCCCTGCTCTTCTGGCTGCACTGGCCCCCGCCCTCCGGGAGCTTCTCCCCCCTCGGCACCTGTGCTTCTGCAGTCATTTTATCTTCAGCATCCGCCTCCTACACTGGGCCCTGGGCTCTCAGAGGCCAGGTTTGGTTGTTTTGCCCACCGCTGAGTTTTTTTGACTCAAACCACAGTGCCTAGCTTGTGGCATGTGCCTGATACCATCTGCTGAACTGGGTGGCTGGGGGATGACAAGATGTCTGTGGGGGGAAGGCTTGAAGAACGTGCTCCCATGCTCCTGCAGGCAGGGCAGGGGGCAGACCCTGGGCAAGGAGCTTTGCATAGACTTACAGACACCCCCATTTTACATATGAGCAAACTGAGGCTGAAACAGGTTCAAACTGCACTATCAGGAAGTTGCCATGACTGAATTGTCCGGAGTCCCTTTTGGCAAGAGGGGTGTCCCCTGGAAACCGGTGAAGTGTGGATGCTGGTCCTGGGAAGGGGCAAGAGGCCCTGGGTCACGACCGGCTCTTTGGCAGGTTCGGAGCTACCGTAGCCATCGGCCTGACCATCTTTGTGCTCTCTGTTGTCACCATTATCATCTGCTTCACCTGCTCCTGCTGCTGTTTATACAAGATGTGTCGCCGGCCACGTCGTAAGCATGCCCACCCACCCCCGCCCTACAGTGCCCCCCTTGTGTGCGGGTGTAGACCCCTGCGTGGGCAAGGGCCGCGCCAGGGCTCTGCTGTGGCTAAGCCGGAGGGAGGGTGGCAAGCCTGCCCCTCATGAACTGGGGGGAGATGGAGGGTCTTGACTGGGATTCTCTTTGCAGCGGTTGTGACCACCACCACAGCCACCACGGTGGTGCACGCCCCTTACCCTCAGCCTCCAAGTGTGCCACCCAGCTACCCTGGACCGACGTACCAGGGCTACCACCCCATGCCCCCACAGCCAGGGATGCCAGCAGCACCCTACCCGACGCAGTACCCGCCACCCTACCCGGCCCAGCCCATGGGCCCACCGGCTTACCATGAGACCTTGGCTGGTGAGTGCCACTGCCAACGCTGTGACCCTTCCTGGCCCCCACCTGCACCCCCTCAGGCATCCCTCCCAGCGTTTGTGGCTGAATAGGCCTCTGCCCGCTTCTGCTCACCTGCCATGCACACAAAGCTCACCACCCTGTGGCCAACCTGTATTCTCTCTGTTTGCAGGAGGTGCAGCTGCGCCCTACCCCGCCAGCCAGCCTCCCTACAACCCGGCCTACATGGAGCCCCCGAAGGCGGCCCCCTGAGCGTCTCTGGCTGCCACTTGATTATGTCGCGTGTGTGTGTGAGTGGTCGGCAGGCACAGTTCCTGACTGCCCCATGCGTGGTGTGTGTGCTGTCTATACACGTGGCTCCTGATGCCGACAAAATGGGGAACAATCCTTGCCAGAGTGGGCTCGGGCCAACCTGTATTCTCTTCCTCTCTTGAAGTTATGCTTCCTAAAATCTCAAGCAAAATTCAAAGAATGGGGTGGGAGGTCTTTTCTAGCTCACCCTAGGGCGACCAGGTGTGGCCTGTCACGCTAGGATAGTGCAGCCTTTTGTGGGCACCATGCAGATGTGTGCTGGTGCTGTCAGAGTGGCCAGCCACTGTTTGGCTTGCTGTGGCTTGTCCCCAGGGTTTGAGGTGCCCTTTGCAGGGCTGGGGCCATGAGGTGGGCAAGTGGGCAAGCCTGGGATCTGGCCAAGCGGGGTTTCAGTCCTTTGGGCAGATGTCCCACTGCTCCCCGGAGCCTGTGCCATACCCGGCAGGAGTCGGGCAGCCTCCTGATGCCAAAACACCTCGGGCAGAGCCCACCCACCCTGACGGCTGCCTGCCTCAACTGCCCCTGCACCCTACCTGGGACCACCCGGAGGGCCACATCCACTCACAGCCTGGCTGCCCACAGGGAAGCTTTCCTGCCCTTGCTGGCTTTGGCCCCTGCCACAAGTGGGCAGGGTGGCCTCTGTCCACCAACACACTCAGGTCTCTTCCCTGCAGTGTTTTTGTTTTACTTTTAGCCAAACATTTTGCCTGTTTTCTGTTTTAAAATGTGCGTCATAGTTATGTGAAACAAACCCCTGGGTCCTAGAGGGAAATGGGCCCAGAGAGGGACAACTTGACAACTCTGGTAGTCCTTGCTTCCCCAATACCAGCCTCACAGAATATCCAATTCCTCTACCCCAGTCCACAGTCTTCCTGACAGCAGGGACACCTGGGCCAAGGGGCCATCTGGATCAAAGGAGGGGGTGCTGGGTGGCAGCTCTGGCCCAGACATGAATACCTCGGTGTTCTCTGTCCCTCTGTTGATGTCTTACCAGGTCTGTCTTAGCTGTGTATCTGTTGATGTTTCTCAGTCTAGGGTCTGCACCCTTGTTTATAATAAATGCTGACATTTAGAGTTTCTGCTCCCTTTATTCATAGCCTTGGCTGCTGGGATAAGGCATTAGGCTAAGTCAGTTACTTAGCCTGTCCCCCATTTGAGTTTCTGTGTTTTGCCTACTTTTTTTTTTTTTTTTGAGACAGAGTCTCGCTTTGTTGCCCAGGCTAGAGTGAGTGCCGTGGCGTCAGCCTAGCTCACAGCAACCTCAAACTCCTGGGCTCAAGGGATCCTCCTGCCTCAGCCTCCCAAGTAGCTGGGACTACAGGCATGTGCCACCATGCCCGGCTAATTTTTTGTATATATTAGTTGGCCAATTAATTTCTTTCTATTTATAGTAGAGACGGGGTCTCGCTCTTGCTCAGGCTGGTTTCGAACTCCTGACCTCGAGGCAATCCGCCGCGCACCCTCGGCCTCCCAGAGAGCTAGGATTACAGGCGTGAGCCACCGCGCCCGGCCTTGCCTACTTTTGTCGGGCTCAGATGTTTGACCATCCTGCTAGGGAGAGTGAGGGATAAAGACTGTGCCCATCTCTGTCCTCCTTCTCAGGTCCTGAGTGTAGACAGAGACCCAGGCTGCCAAGGAGAGGAGACAAGTGACCACTCAGTGCTATGGGAGTCTTTATTAGATTGTCATTCTTGGCCTACTGCCCAGGTGTGGCCAGGGACAGTCCATACAGAGTGGCTATTGCCAAAGTCAGGAAAGCCAGCAGACCCAGTGGGGCCAGCAGGCCCTCCTTGGGTGGGGATCTAGGGCCCTTCATTGGAGAAAGAGCCTCAGGTCTCCTGCTCCCACCAAGGCTGGGACTTGTGTTCCTGTCTGTGGCCAGGTGTGCAGTGGCTGTGACAGCAGATGACCTTGGGTTGGTCCTGGCGCAGGCTGTGACCCCATACATGGGCTTGATGGTGCTGAAGGGCCTGGCGTGAGCATCCACCCACTGCAGCAGGGCCTGTGACCTCCACTGACAGATGCTGAGCAGGGCTAGGACGTCACCCTCGGCTGTGTGTGAGTCCGGCGGGGCCTGCCCGTACAGGCGTGTGTAGATGCTGCCTAGGCTGTAGCTCTTCCTTGGGCCATGCTCCCAAGGGCTACTAGCTCGTTCTAGGGCCTTCAGGGCAGTGATGCTATCTACGCAGAAGGCACCATCCAGAGCATTGGCAAGGCCCAGCATAGCCAGCTCCGCCTGAAGCAGGGGGAAGTCGTAGCGGTCACCATTGTGCGCCACGAGGCACCAGGGCTGTGGCTGGCGCTGCAGGAAGGCTAGGAGCAGGTTGACCAAGCTGTCGTCGAAGCATTGACGCCCATGTGCTGCCAGCACAGCTGTGCTCAGCCCTGTGATCTCACTGGCTGCAGGGCTACAGGCCTTTCCTGGAGCCACACACAGGGAGAGCTTGTCCACCACACGTGGTGGGGGGGGCACTGTGGAAGGTGGCCCCTGAGAGGTGGGGGGGCTCTCCAGGGCGCATCTGTGGACTGCCAGCAGGCACAGCTCTGTGACCTTGGGCTGGGAGAAGGGCAGGCCAGTAGCCTCCAGGTCCAAGAAGATGAGGGTCTGCATGGGCCCTGGGGGTGGGGCCTGCGAGCCCATGGTGGGGTAGGTACCCGCTGCTGAGCCTGGGGAGGAACACGGAGTGGGGTTGGCAGTGGGCGTGAGTGTCCAGTGGAAAGATCTAAAGTGGGTGGGGTGGGGGTAAGGGGTGGGCAGAAGCACATCCCAGGCCTTCCCTGTGCTATCGGGCAGTCCCTGAGCTCCACGGCCCATTTTCAGTACAGGAAGTTGGAGAGGGTGGAGTGATTTCCTCGGTAGGACAAGCACACTCTACTGTTTTGGGGGAGCGGGTGCCCACCTAGTCTGGGGTGGCAGAAACCCGTGGCGTTCCTGCCCCATCCCTTTGGGGTTCCACACTTACCGCAGAAGCAATGACTCGGCGCACACGCTCCCTCTGCTTCTAGATGCTGGCAGCAGTGGCGGGAATCGAAACTCAGTGGGGACCCGCCCACAGGCTGCGTGAGCCAGGCCCGCCCTGCTAGGCAGCCCGCCTGCTCTGCCCTCTCATGAATGTTGGACCCTCCCAGAGGCCGTTGCAGATCCCCAGCTGTGGGCCTGCTGGCTGCCACAGTGTGTCAGGGCCCTTAGTGCAGCGAGAGCCAGCTGGGAGGACTAGGCTGCAGTGCCAGGCTAGCTCCAGGTCCCAAGCATTGCTTGGAGCCCCTGCCACGGCCCTTTGGTGCCCACCTGGTGGCCCCACTTTCCTAGGCCTTCCTGATTCAGGCCTGGGCCAAGGGCCACCTCCTTCCCTGCCACACAATGGTTTCTTCCCATGGCCCCAGCCCAAAGCCGTGACTCAGGACAATTCCACAGGCAGGGCTGGGCTCCCTCCTCAAGGCAGATTAGTTACCATGGGGACTGGGTCCCAGCTGCAGCCAGGGACAGGAAGAAGGATCCCAGCCTCCCTGTGTCCCCTCCCACTCAGCGAAACAGATCAGACTCAGGAAACACAACAAGGCTGGCCTGGTCTCGGCAGGAACTGCCGGTTATCGCTTTTAATCAGTTGATGAGGTGAGGGAAGCAGTGGTGCTGGTGCCACCATGTGGCCAAATGCTTGCGGGCCTCAGCCACAGTCCATCTCGGGGTCATCCACATCAGTCTCTGCAGCACAGAGGTCATCCAGGGCCGCCTCTGAGCCAAAAGGAAGAGGGTCCTATGGTGAAGGCCCGAAGGTGCTGGAGACAGGGGGAGGCTCCACCTCTCCTCCCCCAACGCCCGCAGGAACTAACCAGTCCCTTCCACGCCCAGGCCTTGCTCCCTCAGCTACTGCAAGCAAAGTGATACAAAGGCAATTCAGACACGGATATTTCTGGAAAAACCGTGGCTCTGCCAGGCCGACTCAACAGATATGGGCAAAAGGCAGCCCAATATGCTCAGAACCAGGGCAGGAAGACAACAAAAGTGTCCTCAGTGCCAGAAATGGCTGTGGTGGACAGAGGGCTGCTGAGGTAATGCCAGGGAGTCTGACTTGTTCCCGAACTTCAGGGAGAGCCCACACGCAGGCTGGGCAGGGGGGGCTCTCTTGCCAGCTCACCTTCACAGTCTGTCACATCAGGAAGCCCTCGAATCAGCATGCTGACCCCCGGCATCACCTGGTCATACTGATGCAGGACCTCCACGCAGTGCATGGAAAAAAGCTTGTCCTTCTGGGACAGGCTGTGCAGCAGCAGCACCGTGTCCCGCAGACACCGCACTGTCCGCTTCTGCTGGTCAGTCTTTGGGGGCCCCCCTGCCCTCCGCACTGTCAGCCACTGTCTGTGCAGCATCACCGTGAGAGCTCTGACCACCTGGGGGGGACAGAGGGCACAGACTGAGGTCTGGTCTCACCATGTCCTGCGCCCTAACCACCTGCTCAGCCCAGGTGAGGAGGGTTGAGTCAGGCAGGTGGCACAGGGCCACCTTACCCAACAGAGCTGCCATGCTGTTGGCCCCTGCCTGCCCCTGGCCTACTCACCTCCACGTTGCACTGGCAGTCAGAGCCAGTGACTGGGGGGGAGGGGCTCTGCACACCAAGCTTAGCCAGGAGCCACACAGCCTAGAACGAGAACAGATTCTGTTCCACCCTGGGCAGAACGAGACCCCATCATAGCAAGGGCTTTCTCAGGCCTCTCCTACAGGAGCCCCAGTTGCTTTAGCAACTGCTTGTCTGCTCAAACGGGGCCAGGAAGTGGTGGTGTGGGGACTTCCCAGGCCAGACTCAGCACCAGCACTTGTGTCTCATCAACAACCCACCTGCCTTCATATCTACCTCCAGCCACCAGGCCCCAAAGCCAGAATAGGATCAGTTATCAGGCAACTTTGTAAGTCCTGTGACAACCTGGGGTCCACCTGTATTGCATCTGTAGCATGGAGCCCCCAAACTGAGCTTATCTTTTTAGCCCTTGATAAACTCTTGCCACTAAAATGAATTAAAGCCCCCTTTCTCTCCAGGGTAAGGAGATTCTGTGGGTTCTCAGGATGAGTGGGGCAGCAGTCTCTAGAAGGGGGTCTCTGGAGTTCTTACCTCTTGTTCCAGCTGAAGCCACTGTGTCTCCGAGGCCACTTTGTCAGGCCTTGATGTGATGTACATGTACAGCAGCAGCAGGAGGCAGCCTTCTGAAAAGGATGCCCCACTTCTCACTCAGGGTGCCCCTTCTCACCCAGGGCCTGGGCTACTAGCTGCGGAAGCCCTCAGGAAGCCCCAGGCCCCATCCCTGCCACAACCCTTCCCTCCAGTCTACAGGAGCAGCCCACCTGCCCGCCCGCCACGCATTACCTGAGTGGGAACAGAGCTGAGGAGCAAGCTCATCGTGGTCTGCCAGGAGGGAGAGGAGCTCTACAGTCAGCAGCACACTAGGCAGGGGCGTCTCTGGGCTGAGGCATTGTGGCAGCACCCGGAACACGCACTGGAACCTAAACGACAGGGGCCCAGAGAGACGTGACACCCCCAACCCCAATTCCATAGTCCAGTCTCACCTTTCACTAGTAACAGGAAATGAGAGCAGGGCAGTACGAAGAGGCCTGAGTCAGCCAGCCCTGGGTTCTAATGCTGGCCTAACCACCTGCTACTTGCTATGGACAAACGGGTGCTAACTTCCACTGCAGGGCTGCTGTGGCTTAGACAACAGGCCCTCATCTGCTACAGCATCACCCAGCGAATGGGAGAGGACCCCTGGACCTGCGATGACTGGCCTTCACACACTCCCAGGCTCTTTCCTGCTTTGTTCCCAAACAGGGATGCAAGTCATAACTGGGGTATGACAGAAGTATTCCGTGCCCATCAAAGGACTAGCCAGGGCTCCAGAAGTAATAAACACAGACTTGGCTAGGATTGGACCTTAATGGACCATTGGTAAGACAAGAGCATTTTCTCCACTGGTTGAAAAACATCATCTTCTCTCCTGCCAGTGTGAGAAGGTGCCCACTATGGGGTGTGTACGGGTGGGGGCAGAGGGATGGCTATCACCAAGAAACCCAGCTCCAAGGCAACTGC